GCTCGGCTCCAACCCAAGAGAGGAGGAAACCTGATGGGATGCGCAGGGGAAATGCAGCCAGACAGGTTCTGGTCTCGCCCTGCTGAAAGAGGCTCGGCGTTGCCAAAATACCTTTCGCCTCACCGGGCGGCTGCGGGGAGGTCACGCTCCTCCCCAGGGCACGGGAGGCTGGGAGGGATACCTCCATCACCAGAGGAGAAGCAACGCAGGGGTGAGATGGCAGAGATGCTGGAGGAAGGTGAGGAAGCAGCAGGGTCGTCCGAGCAGCTGATCAATTCCCATCCCCTCAGACACTTCCTTGAATTTAATTTCTAGGGGGTTTTTTTCCGCAATACTTCCGTAATGCAACACTTCCACTGATTCTGCAACACTGCAACGCTTCTGCGACGCTAACATCCAAGACAGGTGCTTGTTTTTAATTACTGTCTTCACAGAACACCCTTTTTAATATATCTTTTATCTTATCTTTAAAGCCAGCCCACTGCTGAAAGCTTCAGTTAAGTTATTTAAGGGTCACCCATGCCCAAAACAAAAAAGCAAAGGGCTCGATAACACATCCGACCAAGCCTGGCTGGAAGGAGCAGAGATTTCATGCAAGCAGGGGAACCTGCTGCTGGACAAAAAAAAGACCTTGCTGCTTCCAAGGGTTCCTTCCGCACGCGCTCAGCTCCCCGTTGTTTGCACAATCGCACTTCATTTTCTAGTTCTTCCCATCGCTTCAAGCACAAAGGAGAGGCCCTGGCAGGGGCTGCACAAGAAATACACCCGTGCCACACTATAAATGTCAGTAACGTGCCTTTTTTTTTTTTTTAAAAGTTGTTCCTTTTACAAAGCCCCTAAACCATTAGAATTTCAATATTTAAGCGATTTTGTTTGCCTCCTGCTTCACTTGGAGGTTTTGACACTTTGGGGGCTTTTTCCCCTTTTCCTATCATGACCAAAATAATTGATATTATTGTTTGGAGAACCCAGGACTGGCTCAGGCTTTCGGTGGGGGTAAGCAGGTCTCCGCACACATCCCTTCAAACCTCGCAGTGCTCTAAATTCCTCTCTACTTTCCCCAAAATCCTCCAGCTTTCTCTCCTTGAAGCAGAAGAAAGTTGATCCAAGCAACAGCGGATGCCCCAGCGCTGGCTGAGCTACGCTGGGCTGTGGCTTAACAAAAAAGAACACCCAAATACCCCCTGCCTGGCCCCTTTACCTCCCGCAAAAAGACGGAATGGAAAAACCCACCACGAGCCAGTTATTGGGAGAGGAGGAGATAAAAAAATTACGAGTTTAAAAGCAAGAAGCATGAAAAAAAAAAATTCCATTTCCCAAAATTTAGGGTTTTTTTCCCCCCCTCGTCCTCATTTCATTTCAGCTGAGTGTTTTCTACCAGTCCTTGCCCAGTTCCGGGCCGTCCCCTCCACACATCACCTCTGCAAACACACCCCACAAACACCAAGCCATGGTTTCAGCACCGGGGAGAACTGTATTAAGACGACCCCAAACCCAGCGCTCAGCCCTCCACATGCAAAAGGAGCCTTTCCGCAAGGCCACGGGGAGCTGCCGCCAGCAAACGCTCCTGCGTTCGCATCGCTGAAGCCAGGGGACTGATGCATCCCAGTCCTGCACCCCCATGCATCCCAGTCCCAGTCCTACACCCTGATGCACCCCAGTGCATCCCAATCCTGTGCCCCAACCCCAATTTATCCTCATGCCAATCTTGCACCCCAAAGTGTTCCCCATCCCACACCCTCACCCTTAAAAGTGAGATGAATCCCAGAGCATCCTGCCCCCAATACAGAGCACCCCAAATCCTGTCCCCTCATCAGTGCTGCACCCCAAACGCAGTGTCACTCACCAAGTGACTCACCCCTAAAATACACAGCCCATCCCTAGCCTGAGCCTCAAGGGCCTAATTCTGAAAAGCACGAGGGAAACTGAGGCAGCACCCATTGTGGGGGGGGGCCCTTGCTTTGCTGGGGGTCTGCAGGAGCCGGAGCTCAGTCCCGAGGGAAGATCCCAGCTCAGTGGTCCCAGCCCACGTCACCCAGAGCGGCATCTCCCTGGGTCAGGATGGAGAAAAGTCCTTCAACTGCTGGGAAACCACGCGCGTCCTCGGGATGCGGGACCAGGCTCCGACGCAAGGCGGTAATTATAGAGCGCCTGCTCCCCGTGGCACTGGAGCTCGGGGAAAAACGAGGGCAGATGCCAGAAAGCAGCTCCTCAGCGCATTTCCAGGGATTTCAAACGTTGCTCCCGTCTCCAGAGGAGGATGCTCGCCGCCAGCCAAGCACAAACATTGCCAGCGCGGACTGATCCCAGGAAGGTGAGCATGGGTCAGGATTTTTTTGAGCAGGGCGATGCTTTCTGCAGACAGATGCATGCACCATGGCTGAGGGTGCTGGATGGGAATCGCAACCTCTGGCTGTACGAAATCCTGCTCGGGCCACTCACCACGATTAAATACAATGTAATGCGGTACTTTGAATAAAGGCAATTCACATCTTTTTTGTTCTTTCCACGCTGATGGGGTCTGGGAAGTTTTTGCACAGGGTCTTCTCTCCCACAAGGGGTTTTTTCCAGCACTTGAAGCAAGATTTTTGCAGGCCATTCGCTGGTAATGGGATTAATGGTCTGGTGGCGTGAATCCTGCCTCGGTGGTTTTAATTATTTGGGATGGCACAGCAGAGGCTTCGATGATGCTCTGCTCTCACGCAGCAGCAGCGGTACCCCGGTTTGTCCCGGGCAGCTTTGCCCAGGACACGTTGAAGCGCCACATGGGATTTCTGAGCTGACGTTTCCAAGTCTTTAAGACTCGAAAAGCCACATAATTTGCAGAAATCCAACTTTTTCCAAGGCTCCCACGTTACCTACCAGTCGCTGGAGCATCCTGGCCCCCGCAGCTGTGCTGAGGAAGGAGCAGCTGCCTCCTGCTCTCCATCCCCCTTCGCACACAGCCTGCCCCAACCGACACTCTCTCCTCCTGGGGACGTCCTGCCCCCAACGCTCCGGGATGCAAAGCTCCCATCGGAGCAGTGTTTCCTCTGCTTCGAGATGACTCAAACCCTTATTATCTCCCAGATCTTCGCTAAGAGCCGAGGTTAAAAGTTACGCCCAGAGACCATCCTGCTGGCGTTCCTGGGATTTTTCCCGGCAAAAACACTAACCGAGGAGGAAACTAATTCTCCTGGGAAGGCGGGAGCTAAATAACTCTCTCGCAAATCCCATTACAGGCAGTAAGCTGCCTAGCGGGATGTACTATTTTAGCCGAGTTGGCAGCGGATGCAGGTTTGTTTTCAGGCACGGGGAGGTTGCTCGGCACACGCTCACCTTTTGTGGGGCGTTGATGACGCCGGTGTTGTAGCCGAATTGCAAGGAACCCAGCACCGCTCCTCCCACAGCAAGCATCAGGCGAGCCGTCATCTGCAGGAAAAGTAGGGGAAAAAACCAAAAAGAAGAGGGGTTAAACTTGGGGTCCCAGCTATGCCCCCTACATGCACTCCCATCGGAAAGGTCCTCCAGTGCTTCTTCCTAGGGAGCAACAAGAGGAAGAGGGATACTCTCAGGGCTGCAAGCATGAATATGCACGGTAAAAGAGAAATTTGCCTTTTTTTTTTTTCTTTATGGCATCCACACAGGCTAGGGGAAAAAAAATAAATTTAAAAAACACTGTTTGGGGATTCCAGGAATTTTTTGCCTCTGAGTGGGGTGGGAGGTTTTATGAGGGTTTGCAGGGTCCCATCCGAGGGCTCCACGTGACACCCAGGCAGCATGCCAGCACAAGATGCTTTTGGGGACGCCACGGTGACACCACCGGCCGGCCGAGCATCATCGCAGCATTGGCATCAGGATGCCCCAGACAGCTACCACTAACGAAGTTTTTGCATCAGAGTCTAATTAACAGTCGCTAAGCAAAATCCCGGCTATTTGGCAAACCCTTTGCCCGCCTCCTCTTCCTCCTGCTTAAGCCGGAGCGACAATCGTAGCCTTGTTTGGGAGCGGGGTCAGGGCAGGCCAGCACTCCGGCCACCTTCGTTAACAGCCCAATTATCCCAGGCAGGAGATTTTCCCAGCGCTCAGCCCCAAGAACCAGGATCCGACATTCCCAGTTAATCAGCTTTGGGATGATCCACGTGAAATTTATAAGCCCCTTAATTTGGGGGGCTGGGCTCTCCCCAGTTATCCCAGGTACTGGTGCATCACCCCAACCCAGGGATGCTCCCCCGGTGTCTCGGATTAATATTCCCAAGAGATTGGTGCCGGTCAGACCCCACCTAAGTGCAACCCCTAAATCAGGAGGGCTGACTGTAAAGCAGACACAAAATAAAAGCCTATTTGCTTATTTAAGAAGCATTTTCTTTTCTTTTTTTTTTTTTAAATAAATACAAATAAGCGCTGCTCACTGACCTCGTCTCTCTGGCCAAGCCGCCTCCCCCCACATTAAAGTTTACAGGGAAAAAGCAACAGGGAATAAAGCCAGCCCCGTTAATGAAGCTCATTAATTAGGCTTGGCCCCAACACAACTAATCAGGGAGGTTCTGGCACTTGGTTTTGTTCAGTGCGTCCAAATAAACCCAACCCGAGAAGAAAATGCCCCGCTTGGGAGGGCAAAAACAGGCTGGAAAGTTGCTGGCATCCCAGAAAAACACGGAAAAGCTCCAGGAGCTCGGAGAGGCGAAGGGACAGAGTCGGTAGGAAGGCCGATGGCATTTTTGGAGGCTCTCCCCAGGCAGGGTCACCGTGAGTCAGCTCCTCCTGCTCGCTTCGGACTTCCCAGCTCCAAACACGCTGCCCAGCCCGATCCGGGAGCCTTTCGGCTTTAACCTCGCCATTAAAGGAGAGGCTTAAGATGGCGAGTTAGGGAGGAAAAAAAATAGAAAAAGTTTATTTTTAAGGGCAGCCTTGCATGGGAAACTCCTGCAAAACCACGCATGGGGTTTGTCGGGTTTTGTTTTGGTCTTTTTTTTTTAATTGCTGGTTGAAGAAGAGACCAGCTTTATTTGGAGTTTAGGGGGAAAAAAAAAGGCAACATACTTCCCCTCCTTGCTTTTGCGCCATGAACTTATTCACAACCTGGAGGTGTCCAACACTCATATTTTTTTTGCTACTAACACCTATACCTTATAGGAAGGTGAGCATAGTGCCTGTACTTTTAATAAATCATATACACTTTTTTGCTGCTTCCTGCTTCCTTCATCACTTGAATGAGGAAGCTGAGACGCTTGGAGGAGATAACTTGTGGGGTGACAGCACCCCCCAACCCCACAGCACGCTGTGGGCAGCTTTACAACTCTTTTGTCTTTTCTACCCTTTTGTCTTTTACCTCAACACGGAAGGACTTCAGGATGCTGCCTGCCTCATGCAACAAGAAAATGAATAACCCTTTAAAAAATTAATAATAATATTT